AGTCTTGCTGAACTTTCTGTAAAACTGCATAGTATGGAGTCTAAGAAACTCTTACCCAACCTTCCTTCCTGTCCTCTTTCCTTCCTCAGGATCATGTCTGCATTGTGGTCTGTCTACTCTCCCAGCCTCTCTCAGCTCCTTCCCTTATTTTCTCTTACAGGCTTCCCCCCTAATAAATTTCTTACATGTTTAACCCTCTTCTTGAGGTCTGTTTTTCAGAGAACCTAGACTCCCCTAAATATGAGTGTGATCTCTTCCATTTCCTCCTTTCCCTGTGTCACATCACACCCATTGTGGCTGAAAGTGGTCACCAACCAGCCTAAAATGGCTAGGAAATATTGATAGTTCACAGTGCCTTATCTACCATAACTCCCTGTGAAAGAAAGTATATAAACACCCCCTCTCCTTTTTTTAAAAAAATTTGTGATTTGGGTGAAAGTTTACAGAGTAAATTCACTTTCCATATAGCAGTTCACATACACTGTCCCATGACATTGACTACAATTTCCCACAAGGCAACAGCTCCCCTCCCACTTCCTCCCTATAGTTAACTCTTTCCTTTGTCCTTCCCTCAATGCTCTGTCCCCCGAGCTGTCTCCCAGTGCATATACAGCCCTTCTATTCTCCCATGATTGTTCTCTCTGAGGAGTGTATCTACCTAGTGTAAATGTTCACCTCATATGCTTGTCTTTTGTTTGGCTGGAAGCCACAGGAGTGGGTTCAATTCCAGACCTGAAGGGCAGCTAGGAGCCATAGTCTCAGTGGTTCCATCAGGCTCTGTCAGACCAGCAAACCTAGCCCCCCCCCCTTTTTTTTTCAAATGATTTTGAGGTTTGTTTCACATTGTTCTCTCACAATATCCAGGATCTCCTCCATAGATCCTCCTCCGAGTGGTTGGCAGTGGTAGCCGGGTACCATCTAGTTCTACTGGTCTCATAGTCTTATAGGCTGAGGATTGCATGGTATAACAGTCACTTGGACTAATTGTTTCCATGAATCTTTGGTTATCTTCATTATTCTTTGCTGTGGATGAGGAAAGATCCATTGTTGCATCTAGATGGCTGCTTGCAAGCTTTTAAGATCCAGGTCTATACAAACACTCTTGAAATGTGTAGCTCTTCTCTCAATGTGAGTAGTCATGAGAATTTTTGATGAATAAGACTGTTTCACTCAGGATTATTACTATTATTAATATATTAAGTAACACTTCATGAGCACTTCACATCTGCCAGGCAAAGGAGTCCTGGTGGTGCAACAGTTAAGCATTTGGCTGCTAACTAAAGGATTGGCAGTTTGAACCCATCTGCTGCTCCGTGGGAGAAAGATATGGCTGTCTCCTTCCATAAAGATTCATAGACTTAATAACCCTCTGGAGCTAGTCTACTCTGTTTTATAGAATTGCTATGAGTTGGAATGACTTGATGGCAGTGGTTTGGTTTTGAGTTTTTATGTTAGATACTTTATGTACATTGTTGCATTTAAACCTCACAGCTCTAGGAGGTAGAACTACTATTGCCGAAATTTTATAGATGAATAAATGAGACTAAGTTGTCCAATATCACATAGTGGTAACAGGCAGAGTTAGAGCTGTAACTTAGATTGGTCCAACACCAATGCCTGGGCTAGTGGCTAAGACACTTCCTTGCTAACCAGAGGGCTGGCGGTTCAAACCCACCAGCCACTCCTCAGAAGGAAGGTTGGGCAATCCTACTTCCATAGTGATACTGCCTCGGAAACCCAAGGAGGGGTCGCTATGAGTCGGGGCCGACTCGACGGCACATAACAACAACAACAACATACCACGGGTAAGAAGGTCAAACCATAGTGGTTTCACAGACTACTCCCTCTCTACTTTTACAGAGGAGACTGAAGCACTGAAGTAAATCACCCTGGGTTACTCAGGGAGTCAGGGCAGAAGCAGGACTTGCACTCAGGTGTCCTGATTCCAGATTTCCAGATCTACCCTCTCAAAATGTGAGAAACCCGAAGACTATATTAAGGTGACTCTTGTCCCACAATGGAGAAATAACTCTAATATAGCAATCTGGCAAGGGGGACTGAGGACAGGAAAGTGGCCCAGGGCTTGCTGGAATTCTAGAGGGGAATTATTATGCTGGATAGTTCAATCTTCCTCTCACACCCACCCATCCCAGGCTGCAACCTGCATCTCAGATGGGGGGAATAATATCATAAGTCTGTAGAATTACGTATAGAGCATCTATGGGTAGGGTACTAGGACAATGAGGAGGAGGAAGTAGAGGAGGAGGAGGAGGAGGAAGGGAAAGGGAAGGGGAAAGGGAAGGGGAAAGGGAAGGGGAGGGCCAGAGAACTTGTTGGAAGGAGCATTTGGGTTCAGCCAACAGCAGTTTATAGAGCCCCCTGTATTGGGCTTTCTGTTAAGCACTAGTTATTGTTGTTGGGTGTCCTCAAATCGATTTTCAAATCATAGTGACCCATGTGACAAGAGAACTGCTACATTGGGTTTCTTAGGTTGAAGTCTTTATAGAAGCTCATTGCCAGGTCTTTCCTTCAGAGTTGTTGGATAGGTTCTAACCAGCAACCTTTCAGTTAGCAGCTGAGTGTTTAACCCATTGTGCCACCAGAGCTCCTTAAGCACTAGTTATTCTAAGTTAAGTAAGAAAATCTTCCTTTCTGCTTTTGAGACCAACATTTGTGCTAGTCCAGGCAGAGAGAGGATCAGAGTAGACTTCCTGGAGATGACTCCTGAGCAAAGGCTCAACGGATGCATAGGAAGAGTAAGAACCTCCAGAGCCATATGCAACTGCTTATTGCGGACCTTAATTCAATTCCACAAATACATTCTGAAGGCTTGGCCTTATTCCAAGTTCAGGGGCCAAATGGTGAGCAGGAGACCTTGTCCTCTGGCTGCTTAGTCTCACAAGGGAGAAAGCTCAACAATCATAACACAATATGAGATGTGCCACAAGAGCAACCTCCAATACACTTTATAGGAAAAGGGAGTCTCACTGCCTTCATCCCAGTCAAGTCCCAATTTCTGAACATGGCAAAATTCTTCACAATTTAACTCCATTATCACCCTGCACTCTCATTTTCTGCCTCCCCCTCAAAGCTGGAGACACAACAAAGTGTGTGTATGTAAATCTGAACATGCCAGGTGTGGTGGTTATGTCTGTGTGTCAACTTGGCTGGGCCTGGCTGAGTGGCTGGGCAGCTGGTGGTAGTTATTTCCCATGATGAGACTGGCAATCAACTCCATGGTGGGATCTACCACAAGCAGCTGAGTAGCTGCTTTGGGTATGTGGTCTGCTTCCCATATATAAGCAGTTTTGGGAGTGGTCTCTAGCTTATGGCACACTTGGACTCTGCACATAGCCGTGTCTTGTTCAGCAGCCTGCTGACCTTGGGACATACAGTGGACTTGAATTAATGACCTGCTGTGTGGTTTGGTAATATCAGGACTGTGCCTTTTTACTTGTCAACCTTGGGCTTGACAACCTCAGCAGCCAGCAGCTCTGTGAGTGAAGAAAAGCCTCTTGTTTCAGTGGGCCAGGAGCAGGAGGCAGAACTGGACCTCAAGGTTGAGGCGCTTTCACCCAGCCCCTAGAGCCTGGCACTTTGAACTTGGACTTAAAGGCCCCAAACTGTAAGAGAATAAATTCCCATTTGTTAAGGCCATCCCACTTGTGGTATATCTTCTTCTCAGAGCGGCACTAGGTAACCAGAACACCAGGTTTTGGTCATACTACTACTCCTGGTTTTTGGTCTGCAGTGGCCTTCTCAGAGAAACTCTCCTCTACACACCTAGCCTTGCCCAAATTCTCCCCATACTCCCAAGGCCTGTCCTTTGTCCATCCACCTCCTAAGGTCGGTAAGGTCCTTAAAGTAGGGACCTAAATGCGGGACCAAGAACACTCACTATGGAGTTGGAGAGATGCAGGTAGGCTTCATGTAGCCAGATGACCAGTCAGGTCTTGGACCCTCCTCAGCTTCCCTATATATCTGGACGAACAATTCTTACCCCAAGAAATGTAATTGGTACAAATGCTCAGTTCTTGGCACATAGTAGGTACTCAAAAATGCTTGCTGAATTGAATTGCATTTATAGTAAAATCCCAGGCCAGACTTTGTTCTTTATAAAGGCCTTGCCTGCAAGCTGGACATTGGAGGAGTTAATGATCAACTTTAGCAGTTTTCTGTGGCTAAGAATGAGATGCGTAGACCTTGTTTTTTGCCTCGGAAACCTGTCTGCTAGCTGAAGAAATAGATGAGCAAGCTCCCACAAGTTCAGTACCAAATCCCTAGAACAGTGATCTTCAAACTTTAAGAAGCATAGGAATCACCTAGAAGGCTGATGAAAGAGAATGCTGGGCCCCACCTCCAGAGTTTCCCATTCTGTAGATCTGGGGTGGAATATTAGAATTTGCATTCCCAAATCACTCCCAGGTGATGCTGAGATTGCTGGGTCCACACTTTCAGAACAACTCACTAGAGGGTAAGGATCCTGTGCTCATTATCTAGTACTTAGTAGCTATCTGTGTTCCAAGCTTGCATTCATATCTTTAGTCTTGGTTTTTTATTAAATTACTCTACCACTTTGTACTTCATTTGCCTCATCTGTGATATGAGGGTAAGAATATTTTCAAGAATTTCTAGGAGGATTAAATACATTAATGCACAGTAAGTGCTTAAAACAACGCCTGACAGTGTTCAATAAATGTTGTTTAACTCTTACTATCTACTCATTTTCTGGAAGAAGTGGAATGACAAAACTACGGGTTCAGGTGGCCAGAGGAGCAGTCTTCTGTACAGTCAGCGGGTAACAAGATCTGAGGCCCAGTCACATACTTCTTCTCTGGGTGTAGCAGCTTCAGATTTCACTTGTCTTTCCATCAAACACATTTTCCAGTCCAGCCTACACTTAAGCCCCGGCACGTGGACACTGCGCATGCCCAGACCCTGCCGCGTCTACGCCCGACGTATAAACGCATTTATGAGCGCTGGGTGGGGGCCATGCTGGTAGAGCAAAAATGGCAGCGATAACGCGAGTGGCGGCTGTTGCAACAAAGCTATGCGTTCTAGGGAGAAATCTCGGGAGCCAGGCAGCGCGGGGCGCCGCGGTCCGCAGTTCTGGTAGTCAGCCAGTCTCCGTAAACGAGCGCATCGAGAACAAGCGCCGCGCCGCGCTACTGGGAGGGGGTCAGAGCCGCATAGACGCGCAGCATAAGCGGGTGAGTCAGCCCAGCCGACTTTCGTAGCCTATCACAGATTGAGCAGCTCGCGGCGCCAGAAGGCTTTCAGCCATTCCGCTTGATCCTGTATGGGGGGGGGGGGGCGGGCGACAATTTTCACCTTGAACATCTGTTGACATTTCACCTGGAGGCGAGTGAAAAGAGGATAAGCACCTTTGTGCTTTGTCAAGGTCTTCTTTCCCTTTACAATTTTAGACGGATCTGACAGGACTCCAGCCAGTTTACCACTAAACAGCTATAAACTTTTGGGCAAATTACTTAATTTCTAGGAGTCAATTTATCTTCAGCAAGGTAGTAATAATACTTCATCCTAGTCTTTTTGTTAACTCGAGACAGTGAAGCAATGATAGACACAAAAAATCTGCTCTTTCTTCTCGTGCCACGTGAAAGGGTGGTGGTAGTTTTTTTCTCCGTTATGCAAGCGAGAATATTGAGGCATATGACAGGGCAGGTAATGTAGGCAAACTCACATTAATCTTGGATGGGATGTGTATGTGCATGTGCAGGAACAGGGAACTCGTGGAACCTCTTTCTCCAAAATGCCAGCTTAGCCCGATTAGCGTCTTGGCCTGTGGGCAGACGATTAGGAACCAGGTAGTTTGCGAAACAGGTGGTGGTTCTGGGAGTGTGCAGGCTACTCTGGATGTTTGTGTGGACCTGGATTCTCATCTGGGGAGAGAATGGCTGCTGTGCGTTGTAGGTGTTCGGAGATGTGCTGGCTGGGATATTTAGCAGCAGAAGAAACTGAGGCTCCAAGAGGTTACCCGAGACTTGAAACCAGTCACCAAGTGCATCACTGACCAGTGGATGAGTGTGGACCGATGGTACTGGACGATTTAAATAACCAACGGGAAGATGCGGAAGTGAAACAGGTGAAGGGCACGGAGGTGCAACTCATAGGCTTGGGGAGGTGACTGGGGCTAAAAGCTGGCATCTTTAGGGAGGAGTTTCAAACCAGTCTAAATTGAGTGTGTTGATTCAGATGTTGTAAGTTCCCATTGGACCGGGGCTGGCCTGGTTTTGCATGGCTGGGCAGCTGGATGTAGTGATTCCCCATGGTGAGACAGGTAATCGATTCCATGGTGGAATCTACTGTGAGTAGCTACCTTAGGGACGTGGTCTGCTTCCAGTGTATAAGAAGAAGCCTTGAGAAAGGTCGAGCTTTTTGGCATGCTTGGACCCTGCATGTAGCTGAGTCTTCATTCAGTAGCCTGCCATGTTGCCTCCTGATCTTGGGACTGTCTCTGGACTTGTATTGGCATGTTGTGTTGCTTGATATCTTGGGACTGTGCATTTAGTTTGTTGACCTTGGGTTTTTCAGTCAGCAGCTGCCTTAGTTAAGAGACACCTCCAGCTTCAGTGGGCGGGGAGTAAGAGGTAGAGCTGAAGCCCAAGTTTGAGGGGCCTTCAGCCAGCCTCTGGAGCTGGCACTTTGAACTTGGACTTATAGCCTCCTAAACTGAAAGAGAGTAAATTCCTGTTTGTTAATGGTATGTCTCTTATAGCAGCACTAGAGAACTGAAACAGATTCCCAGAAGTGGAATTACTGGGTCAAAAGGTATGAATGTTTTAGTAACTCTTGACATACATTGCCAAATTGCTTTCCCAAGTTGTTATACTTTATGCAACACGGTATGAGATTGCCTGTGTCTGTTTTAACACAATCACCTTGGCTTTGGCTACTTTATTGATGGGGGAAAAATACCAATTCGAGGTAAGTTTAGAGGAAACTGTGGGCCAGAGTGTTTGGCTGGGACTGAGGGTTGTGGAGCCCAAACAGTGAAGGCTTCTGCTAGACTGAGGACTCTCAAGTTTACCACCTCAAAAGACTTTTTTTTTTTTTTTAACCTCTCTTGAGTGAGTTTTTTAGCATTCTCTGTCCCACACCCCTTCTATGCAGTCACACCCTGCTGTGGGGTGTATCTGTCAGGTGTGGTATCCCTCTCAGGTGTGGTGTCCCTCAGCAGGGTTCCTAGTGGAAGACAGGATGAGGAGAAGCAGCAGCCCATGGAGGAGGCAGGAGAAGACTGAGGAAGTAGTGGCTCCTGGATTTGGGGTGGCAGCTTGTCCCTGGTGAGGTGTCCTTCTGTGGGCTTCCCTAGAAGAAGCTTGTGAGGCTGGGGGTTTGGCCTTGAAACCTTCACCAAACCTGCTTTAGTTTTTTCCCTCCTGCTGTTCTCTTCTTTTTTTTTTTTTGCTCTTTAGGTCTTCAGTAAATGTATGTGGAATTAGTTTCTTTCAGGGTTAGGCTCTCCTTACCTCCACTTTTTTCCTCCCCTGCTTTATTTGCCTTCTACAGTTGGGTGGCTCCTACAGCACTCTGTCTGCTTAATTTCTTTACCTCTGATATCTATTGATATTGCACATCTGCCTTGGGCAAGTCTGACAAAATAAAGGCTTTATCATTAGGCTGAAGGATCAAAATTTGTCCTCTTGGCATTCCCACGGGCACCCCTTACTTTGCTTACTTTGTCTATGATGACATCACTGAATGATCTTTGTTGCATTTTAGGGAAAGCTAACGTCCAGAGAGCGGATTAGTCTCTTGCTAGACCCTGGCAGCTTTGTTGAGAGCGACATGTTTGTGGAACACAGATGTGCAGATTTTGGAATGGCTGCTGCTAAGAATAAGGTATATCTGTCAACGGTTTTCACCTGTGGCTGTGCCAGCCTTACCCACTAAATTAATGCGTCTATATCACTTTTCTCTGAAGTCCTTCTGGGCCTCAGGGTAGATTTAAATTTTTCATGCTTAGGATCCTGGAATTGTAGAACCTCTGGAGAAGCACTACTGGGTCTCCTGGTTCCCCACTCAACGTTTGTCTATGGATGAAGGAGTGTGGGTGGGCTGCTTATACCTGTGCTGTGTAACTCTGCCCCTGTTCTCAGGGCTCTGGCTTCAGAGCTCTTGCTGCAATAGACAGACAGACTTAGAAGGGAGAGTTTTTCAGTTGTGGTCTGGCCCGTAAAGCCTGACCAGTTGCCTCTTTAGACATGCTTTTAGTTAATGCTTTGAGGTTTTTGAGGTCAGAGTCACCAACACTTCTTCCTTCAGGGGATGCTCTTCATGGGTGTATGGAATCTTTGGATTCACTTTTGGTCCTGGTTTCCTTCAGTTCTGCATATGTGCTGTTTGTGACCAGTGATTTGTAAACTTGCACCAAAGCAGTCAGCTCAATTTGATCCATTATGGGCCATCCTGAGATTCCATGCAAGATGGTTTTGTTTCTAGGTTTGGGGGTGGATGTGTGGTTTTGTAGAAATTGCCATGCTTCTTTTAATGTCCTTCTCATGAGCATTTGGTAATGTTAGCCCTGGGGGATGCCTCTTGCTTTAAAGAAGGAGGGTGACTACAACACTTTTCACTCCTTTAAGGAATTTGGTGTCCCCCCCCTTCCATTTTTGTTTTGTTTTTCTTAGGGACATAATTGCTGAGTTCATTATGAGAAGTAGTTGCATTTTTAACCTTTGTTTTCCATTTTTTTTCCGGTAGTTCCCTGGAGACAGTGTGGTCACTGGACGGGGCCGAATCAATGGAAGATTGGTTTATGTCTTCAGTCAGGTATTTCGTAACTCCAGTAGGCTGAGCTTTCCTGTAGGGTAGAGCCAGGCGCAAAGTATGTAAGAAGAAAACAGTTTTGGGGGCTGTAAACTTGGCTGTAGTTTGGGACACATGAGAAATTTACTTTCTCTGTTTCTCAGTGCCTACCCCCAGAGTATGAGATTGTGTATTTTCTTAGGGAGGAAGAGTCTTTAGTTTGTTTTGGGAAGATCACAGGGGAGTAGGCATGTAAGAAGTTGTCCCAGGAACTAGTATTTTATTCTGAGTCAGTGAGATTCCTCTTGGCAGGGTTAGGTTTCTGCTTGGAGGACAGCTACATCCTGGGCATTGTGTGTGAACCAGAAAGCATGTAGTAGGTATATCCTGAGTGGAGGCCTCTGAGCTTTGGGCTTTCATGAAAATGTTCTAACAAGTTGTATTGGGCTATATCAACATAGATACAAACTGAAACTGGGAGAATGTGGTAGGTAGAATATGGTCGTCTTTTTGAGGACATCTTTGTTGTCCAATATGGTAACCCCCAGAGCCTGGTGAATATGTAAAGGGGAATAAGGTTGCTGCTAATCAGCTGACCTTAATATAGGGAGATTTTCCTGGATTATCCAGGTGGGCCTAATGTAATCATCACTGTTGCTGGTGGAGTGGGCTCTGACTCACTCAGGGAGACCCCATGTGTGCAGAGTAGAACTTTAATGTAATCATACAAAAAACATATTACTTGGAGTCTGTTCTGATTCAGTGATCACTTTTAGGACAGAATGAAACTGCCTCGTAGGGTTTCCAACTCTATAATTTTTATGGTAGCAGACTGCCATATTTTCCTCCTGTGGAGTGGCTGGTGGGTTTGAACTGTTGACCTTTTGCTTAGCACTGAATACTTGAACCACTGTGCCACCAGGGCTTCTAAATGTAATGTGTAATCATAAGAGTCCTCAAAAATGGAAGAGAGAGGCAAAAATCAAGAGTGTTGTGATTTAAGAAAGACTTGACACGTCATTGCTGGCTGTGAAGATGGAGGAAGGGAAACACGAGCCGAGGAATGCAGATGGTCTCTAGCAGCTGGAAAAGCCAAGAATATGGATTTTCCCCTGGAGGCTCCAGGGCCCTCCAGGTTCCAACCTTGATTTTAGCCCAACGAGACTGTGTTGAACTTCTAAACTACTGAAATATTATTGTAAGATAATAAATTTTTGTGGTTTTAAGCCACTACATCTGTGGTAATTTGTTATAGTAGTAGTAGAAAACTAATACAGAGAATATATTGTATACTATTTTGAGTTTGAGGAGCTCTTGTGTAATGGTTAAAGCATTTGGTTGCTAACTGAAAAATCAGCGGTTGGAACCTACCAGCTGCTCTATAGGAGAAAGATGAGGCAGTCTGCTTCTGTAAAGATTTACAACCTTGGAAACTCTGTGGGTCGCTATGAGTCAGAATCGACTTGATGACAGTGGATTTTTGGTTTTAATTTATTCCCCTCTTGAAAGATAGCAATGTGTATATAATTCTAAATGTTTAGGTCCTTTTACAGGCCTAAAATTACGTAGCTTGTATTGTAACATTTAATGTGTTCTGAGTTTGGTATTAAAGTAGTTGGTAAATTTTAAATTTATTGTATCCAGACAATACTTATTTACTAATTGTTTTGGTTACCTAGTGCCACTCTGACAGGAATATACCACAAATGGGATGGCTTGAACAAACAGGAGTTTATTATCCTACAATTTTGGAGTCTTTAAGTCCGAGTTCAAAGTGCCAGGGTTTAGGGGTTGGTTGAAAGCCCCTTAACTTTGGGCATCAGCTCTGTCTCCTGCTCCTGGCTTCATTGAAGCTAGAGGCTTTCTTCACTCAGACAGCTGCTGGCTGCTGAGGCTGAGAAGCTCAAAGTCGACAGGTAAAAAGGCACAGTCCCAATGTTACCAAACAACATAGCAGGCCACTATTCAAGTCCAGAAGAAGTTCCAAGAGTGGCAACACATGGTAGGCTGTTGAACAAGGACCTGGCTACATGCAGGGTTTAATTTTGCCATCAACTGGAGACTTTCTTCAAAGTTGCTTCTTATATACTGGAAACATACCACATCCCTAAAGCTACTACAATAGGTTCTACCATGGAGTTAATTACCAATCTCACCATAGGGAATAGCTACATCCAGCTACCCAGCCATTCAACCAGGCCCAGCAAAATTGACATACAACCCTAACTACTACATTAATTGCCTTGAAATATTTTAGAACTATTATAAGTGGGTCTACTCAGTGCTGAACTAGAAGGAATCACATTTCTTAGCTTTTGCAACTATAAAGAACTAGGCAAAAACTAGGTGGTGCAGTGGTTAAATGCTCAGTTGCTAACTGAAATGTTTCAGTTTGAACCCACCAGCCACTCCGTGGGAGAAAGATGTGGCATTCATTTTTTGTAAAGATTGACAGCCTTGGAAATTCAATTATAAACTCTTGGAGAGTGACACACATTGAAAGCAGCATAGTCAGCCACCATCTTTGAGCAGGGCACAGCTGTTTTTGTTTCCTACTTAGTTCAGAATACCATGAGAAACTGATTTGATTGCTATACAATGCATACATGGCCTTAGGATGATAATTATTGAACCATTTGAACTAGTTCTAAGCCCTGTTAGAAAGGGGCAGAACAGATGTGACTACAGATAGGGCAGGAGAGATTCTGGGCAAATGGTGTGGACTTAGGGAAGATCACATCTAGAGTAGAGGAAGGCTTTAGGGAAAATGGGGGCATGCGATATAAGCCCTAGAAGATGGGGAGAAATGAGCCACCTTTTTTCATGGTGATCCTCAAAATGTTAGTAATTGTGTGTGTGTGTTTTTTTTTTTTTTAGTAATTGTGTTTTTTGGGGGAGGTTCTGTTTTCTAGAGAATTATTTTTTGCCAGGTATCTTGGTTGTTGGTCTGTTTGGGGGGAAGTTGGGTTGTGGGGGAGGGGTAGGCACTAGATCATCTAAATGATAAATAAATATACGGGCTCGTAACCTCTATTTCAACCTCACCTTTGCCTTTTTTTTAGGGCTGGTGATTTTACCCCCCATTTAGATTTCTTTAGAGAATAAACCTGTCTCTTCTCAGGCTGAAGAAAAGAGTTGTAGGGTCTGTTCCTTCTAGCACAGACTTTTCTAATCTCTGTTTTCAGCCTGCCCCTCTCCCCTGGTTCCTGGGTTGTCTCTGATGCTTACCCCTCTGCGGGTGTGTGGGCTTCCATTTGCTCCCTCTGAGACAGTTAACACTTCATCTTGTTCTATCAGTTCCCCTCAAATCTATTCAGCTTGTCCTCTTTCCTTCCTTTCTGGTCCTCATGGGTTGATTTTCTTTTTCATTCTCCACTCTCTTTTTGAGGGGGTTTAGGAAGGAGATCATGCCCACAAAAAGCTCTTTACATCAGAATATAATGACAGTCCACCAACAGAGGCAGCAGCGAGAGCGCTGATTCATTTTCTCTCTTTCTTGTCAGAATAGTGCATGTTTCCTAGTAACAGAAATGCTTGACTGGTGTGCATAAAATCTAGTATTAGGTTTAATTCTATATGAAAAGTTTTCCTTTCCTCAATTACATATCTTTTTTGTAGAGCAAAGGCTAGATAATAATATATAATTCTCTTTAAGATATTTTATTCATTATTCTCTGGAATAATTTATAAATTTTATTTTTGTTTTTCCTTTTTAACCTTCTGAAAATCCTTTAAAAACTTTTATCTATGAAATTTGAGTTTTCTCCTACTGGTTCTTCATTTCTGACCAATCACTCTGTTTACTTGTTGGTTTAATTGTTTTCTTTTTAGGATTTTACAGTGTTTGGAGGGAGTCTATCAGGAGCACATGCCCAAAAGATCTGCAAAGTAAGTGTTTACAGTTCTTACCCCTTGTCTGTGGGGGATACATTTCAAGACTCACAGTGGATGTCTGAAACTGCTGATAGTGAACCCTGCTGATAGTACTGAACTCCATATATACTGTGTTTTCTCCTGTGCATACCTACCTGTGATAAAGTTTAATTTGGAAAGTAGGCACAGTAAAAGATTAACAACAATAACTAATAATAAAATAGAACAGTTATAACTATTCTGTGATAAGTTATGTAAGATAAGTTATGTAAGATGAAATGAGGTGAGTGACATTGTGACATAAGGTTAGGTGACTTTTTACACTCTGACCGTGGGTAACTGAAATCATGGAAAGCAAAACTGAAGGTAAGGGGGAATTAGTTCTTTCATCATTTACAGCATGCACATTAAGTATCTTTGTGAATATAAGATACTGAGCTAGGTACATGAGTGGGGAAGAGATGGACAAGAGGAAATGCTGACCTGAAGGTGCCTTCAGTCCAGGGCAGGAGTTTTTTTTTTTAATTTTTGTGATCTGGGTGAAGGTTTACAGAGCAAATTCATCTTCCGTACAGCAGTTCACAATACACTTTGTCTCATGACATTGCTTGCTATTTCCCACAATGCAATGTTCTCTTCCTATGTCCTCTCCCTAGCCACCTTTTCCCTGTGTCCTTCCCTCCCATGCACTCCTGCCCCCCCGAGCTGTCTCCCTGTGTATACATAGCCCTTCTATTCTCCCATGATTGATCTCTCCAAGGTGTGTATCTACCTAATGCAAATGTTCAGCTCATATGCCTGTCTTTTGTTTGACTGGACCTGAAAGGCAGCGAGGGGCCATAGTTTCAGGGGTTCCATCAGCTCTATCAGACCAGCAAACCTGGTTCCAGGGCAGGAGTTTTTAAAACATTTTTGTACCATGGATCCCTTTGACAGGCTGGTAAAGCCTGGACCCTCATTTCAGAGGACTGTTTTTATATGAATAAAATAAAATACTAGGATTACAAGTATTTTTAGAAAACCACATTTGTAATATAGTAATCTATATGCTTTATTATGCATTAAATAAAATTTAGCAGGGAATATAGTAACTATTTAATTTCAATATAGGGATGAGTACAGGTATTTCAAAATAGTATATAAAAACTATTTATAGCTTCTGTTAGTGACAGGTCACAGCTATTTGTGGTATTTCTGTGGCTTGTTATCCATACTCATAAATGAAGAAAAGGCTAAAGATTAGAGTTAGTAAAATAAAGGTACAAGTTTTTCCCATCCAACTTCATGTTGTTGTTATGTGCCATTGAGTTGCACCCGACTCATAGCGACCCCTCCTTGGGTTTCCAAGGTGGTATCACTACGGAAGTAGATTGCTCAACCTTTCTTCCGAGGAAGTGGGTTTGAACTGCCAGCTTCTGGTTAGCAGTCAAGTGCCTCAGGCACTATGTTTCCAGAGATACAACTTAATGGACCCCCTTAAATTTACTGATAGACTCCCCCCCCTCAGGGTCTAAGGACCCCAGATAAGGAGCCTCTGGTCTAGGTGGAGAGACAAGGAACGAAAAGGTAAAGTGTAGTGCAAGGATTATGTGATGGTATTTAAAAAATAGTGTTAGTGATTGGGTGGTCTGGAGATCAGAATACAAGTGTAGATCATATGTGGAGAATTTTGGAATTAAAGATAGAGTTGTCTATTAATAGCTATGCAGGGCATCCCTGTGTAATGCATCCTAGACATGGTCCTGCTGTGCCTTACTCCTGAGACCTTGGACTCATCACTTAGCTTAAACTTTTCCTAATTTTTCTTTTTTTTAATTGCATCTGTAATGAAGTTTAAGGAGCTCTGGTGATAGAGTGATTAAGTGATTTGACTGCTAACCAAAAGATTGGTGGTTCAGACTCATAAGCCACTCCTTGGGAGAAGGATGGTGCAGTCAGCTTCCATAAAGATTGGAAACCCAGTGGGGCTCACTTTGAGTTGGAATCAAATTGATGGCTTTGTGTTTGGTTTTAATTTGGTTATGAAGGTTAAATGAGCCAATGGGACTGAAAGTGCTTTGTGAACTCTCAGAGGCTTTAGGAATGTTGCTTGTTACGCTGCCAGAACCTCTGCCCTATGAGGAAAATCTGTCACATTAGACGTAAAAGCAGGCCTGCACTGGCCTCAGGTTAATAAATGGGTCAACATCTGCTGCCAGGCAAATGCTACAAATGCCTACTATCAGTTCTTCCAAAGGAGTTACTTACTGCTTAAAATATTACAAGTGCTATTGCCTGGGCTAGCAATTCTAGAACTGGTGGCCACGATCAGTCTTACCTACTGCTAATTTGTGGCTCTTTGGTGTTTGGAGGCTTTAATCTCCTTTTAAAATATGTGGTTCTGTGTGTTCCATGAAGGTATCCAATCATCATGGGGAAAGAAACCAGTGTTACTGCCTCCTATTTTGAAAGGTGCACACAGAACATTTTCTAGAAAACACTGTGGTGCTTTGTGAATGCTGCTTTTAATAGCAGGAGTAGTTGTCTCACAAAAGATTTCTACGCTGTCTCAGATCATGGACCAGGCCTTGACGGTGGGGGCTCCGGTGATTGGACTGAATGATTCCGGAGGAGCACGAATCCAGGAAGGGGTGGAGTCCTTGGCTGGCTATGCAGACATCTTTTTGGTGAGAGACCTGTTAATGGAGAACAGAGAATAAAAAAGTACAGGACTTAGTTCTTTAATCTGTGTCCTGGTCAGAGGTTCCCCATCTCCTCATTGTGTCTGTTCTGTGGCTCCTTCCTCTGTCACTGGGGGTAGGGTTATGGTGGATGAAAGGTAATAGAGAGTAGATTGAGAGGGTTTTCTTTTTTTCTGATAGAGGGCCACTGATGGGGAAAAGAAAACTAGTTAAAGATCATTCACAAGGCAAGGAAGGGCACTTGAAAATTTTTTTTTTTTTTAAAGAGGAGGAAGAGAATACAAAAGATTAAATGAATGGATTTGCTAGAATTAGGGATTTTTAAAAAGTATAGGGCTTTTTAAAGGAGCTCTGGTGGTATGGTGGTTAAGGAATTTAGCTGCCAACTAAAAGATCAGTGATTTGAACCTACCAGCTGCTCCATGGAAGACAGATGAGGCAATCTGCTTCCTTGAAGATTTACAGCTTTGGAAACCCAGTGGGGGTTGCTATGAGTCGGAATTGAATCAAAGGCAGTGAGTGTGCATGTGAATGCTTTTTTGGTTAAAACACTATTGTTGTTGTCGTTAGGTACCATCGAGTTGGCTCCAACTCATAGTGACCCTGTGTATAACAGACTGAACCACTGCCCAGTCCTGTGCCAGCCTCATGATACTTGCTATACATGAGCCCATCATTGCAGCCACTGTATCAATCCATCTTGTTGAGGGCCTTCCCCTTTCTTGCTGACCCTCCACTTTACCAAGCGTGATATCCTTCTCCAGGGAATGGTCCCTTCTGACAACATGACCAAAGTAGGTAAGACAAAGTCTGGCCATTCTTGCTTCCAAGGAGCATTCTGGCTACACTTCTTCCAGGACAGATATGTTTGTTCTTTTGGCAGTCCATAGGACTTTCAGTGTTCTTTGTCAGCGTCACAACTCAAAAGCATCAACTCTTCTCTGGTCTTCCTTAGTCATTGTCTAGTTATCACATGGATATGAGGCAATTGAAAATACCATGGCTTGGGTTAGGCGCCCATTAGCCTTCAAGGAGACATCTTTGCTCTTCAGCACTTTAAAGAGGTCTTTTGCAGCAGATTTGCCCAGGGCAGTATGTCATCTGATGTCTTGACTGCTGCTTCCATTGTTGTTGATTGTGGACCCAAATAATAAAGTCTTTGACACCTTCAATCTTTTCTCCATTTATAATGATGCTGCTTATTAGCCCAGTTGTGAGGATTTTTAGTTTTCTTTATGTTGAAATGTAATCCATACTGAAGACTGTAGTCTTTAATCTTCATCAGTAAGTGCTTCAAATCATCCTCACTTTCAGCAAACAAAGCTGTGTCATATGCATATCACAGGTGGTTATCGGGTTTTCCTCCAATCCTGATGCCACATTCTTCTTCATATAGTCCAGCTTCTAGGATTATTTGCTCAGTATATAGATTGAAAGAGTATGGTGAAAGGTATAACTCTGATGTACTCCCTTCCTGATTTTAAACTATGTGGTATCCTCTTGTTCTGTTTGAATGATAGCCTTCTGATATATGTACAGGTTCCTGATGAGCACAATCAAGTGTTCTGGAATTCCCATTCTTCTCAATGTTATCCACAATTTGTTATGATCCACACAATAGAATGCTTTTGCATAGTCAATACAGTACAAGTAAACATCTTTCTGGTATTCTCTGCTTTCAGCCAAGATCCATCTGACATCAGCAATGATATCAAATATGATATCCCTGATTCCATGTCCTTTTCCGATTCCAGCTTTTATTTCTGGAAGTTCTCTGTCCATATGCTGCTCTGCTGAAACCTGTCCACCATGGATGGCCCTGCTGGTACTTGAAATAACAGTGGCATAGTGTCCAGCCTAATAGCAACACACAAGCCACTACAGTATGACAAACTGACAGACAAGTGGTGGATACAATATTATAAGATGGATCATTATACATAGTTTTAAGCAGTGGTCCAAAGAAGAAGAAAGTCACGCCAAGTCTGACCATTCGGAATCTGCTCATTTACCAATTGAAATCATGGAGAGAGAGAAAAAACACGAGTAAATAAATTAGTTATTTTGATGTATGAAGTATACTGTGAAGCCTGCGGCGGTGGGGGGTGGGGGAAGAATACAAACCAAATCCATTGGCATCAAGTTGATTCTGACTCATAGCAAACCTATAGGACAGAGTAGAACTGCCCCTCTAGGGTTTCCAAGGCTGTAAATCTTTTTGTTAAATAGACAGTCTCTTCCCCATTTAATAGATTTCGGCCCTTTGTCAAAGATCAGCTGACCATAGGTTGGTAGATCTATTTCTGGGTTCTCAATTCTGTTCCACTGGTCTATGTGTCTGTCATTGGACCAACACCAGGCAGTTTTGACTACTGTGGCTGTGTAGTAGATTTTAAGATCTGGCAGTTTAAATCCACCAGCCACTCCTCGGAAGGCAGATGGGACAATCTACTTCTGTAGTGATACTGTCTTGGAAACCCAAGGAGGGGTCGCTATGAGTCGGGTCCGACTTGGCGGCACGTAACAACAACAACAGCATACCTATTTTATTTGATGCTATTGGGTTAATGAGATTGTTTTGTTAATTTCCTTTATTATTATTATTCATTGGTAGTTTATGGAAATAAAAATGTTTTTTGTATAATTTTTTTTCTGAGATACTTAAAAATTTTTTATGGCAAAATATATATAACCAAAAAATTGCTATTTTAACCATTTTTAAGTATACGATTCAGTGATATTAATTATGTTTTACTCTGCTGGGCAACTATAACCACTGTCTATTTCCAAAAGTTTCTTATTACCCCAAACAGAGACTCAGTACCCTTTAAGCGGTAACTCCTCATTACTCACTTCTTCCTTCTCCCAGCCTTTGGTAACCACTAATATTAATCTTTATGCATTGACCTACTCTGGATATTTTTGGTCTGGCTGACTTCACTTAGCATAATGTTTTCAAGGTTCATTTGTGTTGTAGCATGTATCAGAACTTCATTCCTTTTTATGCCTGAATAATATTCTTGTGTGTGTGTGTGTGTGAATATAATATATAAAAGAAGCTTTTTATTTTAGATTTAGATTTATAGAAAAGTTGTGAAGATAGTACAGAATTCTCATATACTCCACATCCATTTTCTTTTATTATCAGTATCTTACATTGGTATAGTACAGTTGTCACAGTTAGTTAATATTGATACATTATTATTAACTGAAGTCCAGAATTCATTCATATATCCTTAGTTTTTACCTAATGTACTTTTTCTGTTCCAAGGTCCCACTTAGGGTACATGTGGTCATCATGTCTCTTTAGGCTCCTCTAAACTGTGATAGTTCCTCAGACTTATTTTTCATGGCTTGGACAGTTTTGAGGAGGACTTGCCTAGTATTTTATAGAATGCCCTTCAGTTGGGATTTGTCTGATGTTTTTCTCATGATTAGGCTGGAGTTAGACATTTTGGAGAAGAAGATCACAGAGGTGGTATCATTTTTATCACATTATATTAAAGGTCCGTGCTATTAATATGAAATACTACTGTTAATGTGAACTTCGGTAATATTTGTCAGATTTTTCCAATGTGGAGTTACTGTAGTCTTTGGAAGAAAGTCTCTATGTACAACCTTCATTTTTAAAGAGTGAGGAGTTAAGCTTCATTTCCTTTTGGATGAAGTATCTGCATAAATTATTTATAATTCTTCTACATGAGAGATTTGTCTATTCCCCATTTTTCAATCATTTATTTATAACAGTATGGACTCATGTTGTTGGGTGCTGTTGAGTTGATTTTCAGCTCATAGTAACTCCATATGACCCAGTAGAACTCTACCCCATAGGGTTTTCTAGGCTGGTATCTTTACTGTTGCAGATTGACAAGTCCCACAGAGCTGCTCAATGAGTTTGAACCTCATCCTGTTGGTTAGTAGCCAAGCTCTTAACTGGTTGCACTAGTAGGTATTTATTTTACACTTTGGATTATAATCCAATACTACTTTATTTTATTGCTCAAGTTACTCTAGTTTTGGCCATTAGGCATTCTTTCATTTGGTTCCTATGATCCTTTGTTATATCTTCATTATTTGTATGTTTGTTTGTTGAGAGCCTATATTTTCTTTTTAGTACTACAAAGCCCTACAGCTCATCTTGCATACTTCCCATCCTCCATCCTGGAATCAACCATTTCTCAAAGCAGTCCTTTTATTAGAGAGTGCTATTAGGAACTAATATGGAGCAGAAGGTGTTCTTGTTGCTACTGGGGTGTCTTGCTGCTAGGCTGTCTCTGCTGACAGAGCAAAGAAATAGATGGATATACTAATACATGTATATACACGTATCCATAAATATATTCATCCATGTCTATATTAAGGAGCTCTAGTGGTGCAGTGGCTCAGGCATTCATCTGCTAACCAAAATTGGAGGTTTGAACCCATTAGCTGCTCTTATGTGAGAAAAGTGAGGCACTCTGCTTCCCTGAATATTTATAGCCCTGGAAACCCTGTGGGGCATTTCTGCTCTGTCCTACAGGGTTGCTTTGAGTTGCATTTTACGCTACTACAGTGGATTTGGTTGTGGTTTTGGTGTCTGAATTAAGCTAAATATGAGTTTACAGTGACATTCTTAACTAATTTATTACTACATGGATCATTCTAGCTAGCTGTAAATTTTTCATAGTTGCTTTTATTTTCATCAGGTTAGGAGTATTCCCTCTATTCCATCTCTGTTGAGAATTTTTGTTAAGGATGGATATTGGTTTCTGTCAAATGTTTTTCTTCATCTGTCATGTTTCTCCTTTATTAATATAATGTATTCCATAGATTAGTTTTTGGGTGCCAAGCTGAACTTGGATTCTTAAGACAAATCCCGTTTAGTCATAGTTCATAATATGTTTTATATATTGCTGGTTAAGTTTGCTAATACATGAAGAATTTTTTTTTTAAATTATTTCTTTTTATTGTGATTTGGGTGAGGATTTACAGAGCAAATTTACTTT